TTCAATACTCTTACACTTCACCCAACACTCTACTCTCTTCTGAGACCTGCTGATTGTTTGCTTGCAATTTGGTTTTCAAGGCTACTGTTTTACTTTCTTGTTTCCCTGAAACTGATACGTTCTAATTTAAGTTTTAGCCTCATCCCAACGTGTTTACTTTACATTTTCCACATCCCTGTCTGTTTTACTACTTATGTTTAATGTTAATTAGCAAGTCAATTCCCTTGCATATGTTTCTACTATGAATCCCTACACCCCTGACTGCATTACCGCATGTGTTTAATGTTAATCAGCAATGTCAATTTCATTGAACATGTTTCTATTTGTGGATCCCCATATCCCTATTTCCCTCTATGTGTTTGAGTTAAAGTTTGGGCATGGCAGCACCTAGATTGTTGTTCATGTCTGGGCTTGATTCTTTAAGGGATCCTAACTCCCAAACAATGTGGCTAACATGCTGGTTAGGGGTGTGCCAGCACTCCTAATTGCTGGGTATTACCACAAGCCTGTCTTAGCTCTCCCAGAATCCCCTTTCTGCACTTACACTCACTCTTAGTTTCTAAGTTCTGCCCCCTCCTATGAGCCTTGCTTTGGGGACCTTGAGTTCCCTGTGAACTTGGACATTTGAGGGCTGGCCCTTCCACACTGCACTTCAATTCAATTCTGTAATATGTTTGGGTGTAAGCACTGCCCGGAGTTCATGAGGCTTTTGGGAACTCTAACACACCCAGAAAATGAGAAAGGCTTTGGAAATTGGATCTTTGGAGTAGGTTTATTTCATAGTTCAGACCTGGAGTCTGAATCAGGCTCTCCTTGGTTATACTCTAATTTCTGATGTAATTTTATTCTTCTTGATTCGTTCTGGTTTGTAATAATTTTGTAATAACTTATGGGGGTTTTAGTGAAAAGGGAAGGGTCGCTCATGTATGCATGCGGGTAGACATCATGTTCTTAGGTATTTATTCCTGTAATCGCATCCTGCTTTTCACTTATGCATTTCATATAGAAATACTGCCTATAGTTCCGCACTTCTCATATATAGAAATCATGCCTTCGGTTTTCTGCACTTATGCATATATAGATACCATGTCTTTAAGGTTTTGCACTCCTATAGATACCATGTCTTTAAGGTTTCTGCACTTCTGCATTTTAGAAATCATGTCTATAAGTCCTGTCTTTCATACATAGATACCATATTAATAGTTCCTGCATTTCTGCATCTCATATAGAGAACATATCTATAGTCCTACATTTCTGCATCTCATATAGAGAACCTGTCTATAGGACCTCTTGAGTTCTGCATAGACATCTATCACTAGGCAAACAGTTTATCGGTTTAAATAACAGATTGCTTTCTAGATACCATGCCTATATGACTCCTGCATTTCTTTAAACGTTTTTCAAACCAACCACGCTTAGAAAGCATGCCTATAGGAGTAATCAGCTGAATCTGAATCCTCTACAAGTCTAAAATCAGTTGTAACGATACTCAATACCTGCAGAGCTTATGTTTTCTATAATCAGCAAGCCTTCTTTAAAATCAGTGTACTCCTGCATTATTAGATATGATGCCTATAGGTTTCACCTAGGCAAGCCATTAGGTAATTAATCAACTGCACCAGTCTTTAATAATTACAACCAGTGGGCAGGCCTAATTCAGACTTCTTATCTAAAAATATGTGATAAATCAGCCTGCCTTAACGCTTTAAGTTAATTCAGACCATAACCAGTACTTGCAAGACATGCTAAACACTCTGTCTTTAAGTGAGGAGGCCTGTCTAAGCCTTTTAACTGTTATGTGTTTCCCATATCTGTCATATATGTTTTGACTGTCGCCTTAGACATTTATCCTTTTAAACCACTAAAAGCCAATTCTCCCTCCCCCTTTAGGACTAGTAGTCCCAAATGCCTCCGGGACAGATAGGATTGGGACGGGCAATAACATGCAATAAGTAACGAGACCATTCCGCGCTTTAATACCTTAACGGGGTGGGAAAGGGTAGATATGGATATGATGACCACGCGATAACACCATGTGTATAAACGGTTACCGGGTGTTGTGTGGGGTGATCCATATTATTTATAAACCTAGGACCCCCCTTCCCTTTACTTGTATAATCTTTCAGAATTTCCTTTTTTTTTAAAACAAGAAACTGCTCAATTTTCAGCTTCTTTAACTTTTCTTTTACTTCAATTGCTTGCATCAATTACGTAAAAACCTTCCTTTTACTTGTTTATTTTCAGAACTTTAAAATTGCTTTCTTCCCAACTTTCAGCTTCTTTAACTTCTTTTGCTTCAGTTGCTTGTAATCATTATGTGAAAACTATCTCGTATTTGCAATCCTTACTTGTTCACTTGTCATTTACACTTAAAGTCACAATTGTAGTATGGCCGGGAACCACACTAGTGGATCTTGAGGGGTGCCTAACACCTTCCCCTCGAGATAATTTCAAGCCCTTACCCAATCTCTGGATTTTTCTAAAATCAAACTCATTCTTAGTGACCTAATGCACTTAATCATTAGGTGGCGACTCTTTAATTTCAAACCCAATTCCCAAAAGGAAACGAGTTGTCCGCCCAAATGTCATAAACCCGATTTTGCGAGAGAAAGGGGGCATCGACACTAGGGGGCCGTCAAAAGTTCTTCTGTAAAGAGTTATGTTTTCGTCAATCGTTGGTTCGTAAGGGCCCTCGACTCCTTTGGGTCTGCGGGTAGCTTCCTGCTTTCCAAATAATCGATATATTTTTTTCTCCAGTCCCATGTTAGGCTAGTGGAGTTGATCTCGGCATGGCCTTCCTTGATAACTGATTTGGATAGTTGAACCACTGATCCGGGGAGCATGTCATCTTCCTCGACAGATGATCCTAGGTTTGCGAGGGCATCCGCTTCGCTGTTTTCCTCTCGAGGTTTGTGGACCAGAGTCCATTCTTTGAAGCGGTGCAATGTGACTTGAATTTTATCTAAGTATCTTTACATCCTGTCTTCCCGAACCTCGAAGCTCCCATTTACCTGATTTACCACCAGGAGGGAATCACATTTTGCTTCAATGACTTCAGCTCCTAGGCCTTTGGCCAATTCTAGACCTGCAATCATATCCTCGTACTCAGCTTCATTGTTAGTTAACCTTGCGATTTTTATAGATTGTCTAATCACGCCACCTGTAGGTGGCTTTAGAACTATGCCGAGCCCAAATCCTCTTACGTTCGGTGAACAGGGTCCATACCCCGAAAGGTGTGACCTTTTTGAGCAAAAGCTCTTTCTTGACCTCGGGTACGAGGGAGGGAGTGAAGTCGGCTATAAAGTCTGCCAAAATTTGAGACTTGATAGTCGTTCGGGGCTGATACTCGATGTCATATCCCCCGAGTTCGATGGCCCATTTGGCCAGTCAGCCCGATAATTTGGGTTTATGCAATATGCTTCGAAGGGGATACGTTGTTAAAACGCAAATATGATGACATTGGAAGTAAGGTTTTAATTTTCGAGACTCACTTATTAATGCAAGAGCTAGATTTTCCAGGTGCGGATATCTGGTTTCGGCATCACCCAGGGTCCGACTTACATAATAAACAGGGAATTATGTACCTTGTTCTTCTCAGACCAGTACACCACTTACCGCTATCTCGAACACGGCCAGGTACAAATACAATGTTTCACTCTCTTTTGGGGTGTGGAGCAAATGCGGGCTTGTCAGGTATCTCTTCAACTCCTCCAAGGCGCGCTGGCATTCCGGAGTCCATTCAAAGTTGTTTTTATTTTTGAGCAAGGAGAAGAAATGGTGACTCCTGTCTGATGACCTTGATATGAACCGACCCAAGGCTGCTATCTGCCCGGTCAGCCGCTGCACGGCCTTTACGTTATTCACCACCGTAATTTCTTCAATGGCTTTGATTTTGTCGGGGTTGATCTCGATTCCTCTGTTTGATACCATGAAGCCTAAGAATTTGCCCGATCCTACCCCGAAAGCACACTTCTCGGGATTGAGCTTCATATTGTAGCCTTTAAGGATGTCGAACGTTTCCTGCAAATGAGTCAAATGGTCCTCTGCGCACAGGAACTTAACTAGCATGTCGTCAAAATAAACTTCCAAGGACTTGCCTATTTGATGTTCGAACATCTTGTTAACTAGGCGCTGGTACGTGTCCCCTGCGTTTTTTAGCCCGAAGTGCATCACATTGTAGCAGTACATACTGTACTTTGTGATGAATGAAGTCTTTTCTCTATCCTCGGGGTTCATCTGGATTTGATTATACCCCGAATAGGCATCGAGAAAAGTGAGGGTTTCATGGCCGGCTATGGCATCGATCAAACGGTCGATGTTGGGCAGTTGGAATGAGTCCTTAGGGCACACTCTATTTAGATCTTTATAATCTACACACATTTTAGCTTATTCCCCTTTTTAGGAACTACCACCACATTGGCCAGCCATTCGAGATATTTTACTTCCCTAATAGACCCTATCTTGAGGAGCTTCGTTACCTCGTCTTTGATGAATGCATGCTTTATCTCGGACTGGGGTCTTCTTTTTTTTCTTCACCGGTTTGTACCTGGGATCGACGCTTAGTCGATGGGTGGTTATCTCCTATGGGATCCCTGTCATATCTAAATGGGACCAAGCAAAGCAATCGATGTTATTAATAAGGAATGAAATGAGTTTTTTCCTGAGTTCGGGGGTCAATCCTGTCCCCAGGTATACCTTCCGATCTGGGAGATGCTCGACCAATACGGCCTGCTCTAATTCCTTAACAGTCGACTTTGTTGCGTCCGATTCATCGGGGGCAATGAAGGTTCTGGGGGTGAAGAAGTCCTCTTCATCATCCTCAGGGGTTTGTTGGCTTTCCAACTCTTCCGAGGTGGAGTGTATGGGATCCGGTACCTCTTCATGGACCGCGAACATTTCCTTCGCCGCATGTTGCTCGCCATACACTATCTTTATTCCGTCCTTTGTTGGAAACTTCATCATCTGATGAAAGATCGATGGTACCGCCTTCATGTTATGTATCATGGCTTACCGGGCAAGGCATTGTACCTTGCGTCACCTTTAATGACGTAGAATTTGGTATCTTGAACTGCATCGGATATGTTTACCGGGAGGGTGATCTCTCTTTTTGTTGCTTCGCCGGCCATATTGAAGCCGTTGAGGAATCCGAGCTGCTCTACCACCGTCGATCTGATTATATTAGCTGAGCTACCTGGATCCACGAGTACACGTTTGATTTGAATGTAATTTAAGAGAAACGAGATTAGCATCACATCGTTGTGTGGATGAGACAGAGTCTCGAAGTCTTCCTCGCTGAACGCGAGGGTGTCCTCAGGTACGCGACCCCGAGTTAGTCCTTGTGTTGCCGCAAAAACCTTTATCCGTTTGGCCACGGGTCCCTGGGGAACACCGGTCCCTCCTATAATCATATGGACGACGTGCTGAGGTTCTTCCGCTTCACTCTCCATGTTCGCCTTTCTTTCTTCCCGGGTGGGGTTATTTTGAGCTTCTTGTTGATCTCCTTGGTGTATGCTCCTGTTGGTGCGGGAGCTTATTTCAACGTATTGAGCATTGCGCGAGACCGCGTCCACGGGAATTGGTTCTTGCGCAACCCCGGGTTTCGTGGTGGTACACCAACACCTGGAACAACTACACCATTTTCTCCATGGTCCTCTAGATTGTTGTTCTCGTGTGCGTTTACTGAGTTAGACATTTTGTCCTGAAATCAAAAGATCTTGGGCAAGAAAAAGTGTGAAAGATAACTTGCGTTATGTAGTAAACCAGCAAGAAAACAATCACTATTATTTTTAGCCCCACGGTGGGCGCCAAACTGTTTACCTTGAAAATGGTAATAACAATTAGATTTGATTTAGTGGTTCTAAAAATATGTGATCTATTTTTATGCTAGTTTTAAGCAGTAGATGCTAAGTGACGAGGTTAGAAAATAAGATAAGAGATTGAAGATGGCTTTGGAAACCAAACAAAACGGTTGAGAATCAGGACCTCGAGCTAGCGCATGCGGGGCCTCGATGCCAAGTCAGATGCCCGACTGGGGGCGGTCGATGAAGGAATAACAGTTAGGAGGGCTGCAATGGCGGCTCTCCTATGATCAATAATGAACAATGAATGATGAAAAATTAATGAGATACAATAAATGTAAATAAAGCAATAAATGTAGGCAATAGAGCCAAATAGAGAGTATGTTTGAGTTAGAGAGCAGAAAAATGTTCTTGTATTGAATGAAGTATCTTGTGTCCTTTTTTTTACAAAGATGGTAAGGTACCCCTTTATAGCTGAGGGGAACTCTAATATGGTACAAGTGCATTTATTACATAAGTAACCGGTACGATCACTCAATCAGCCTGGCGCAGGCTGTCGCTGTCCGCGTAGGCATTGTCAAAAAAAGTACTGCTCCTAGGGAACTTCCCGCTCACTTGTGATAACCTCCGGTTCGTTCTACCCCGATATCGGGCACGAAGAGTCCTGGAAGACTTCGAACCCCGAGCTATTCCCTCAGTCCCTCGGGGTGACATTGCGTAATGTCTCGCTGATCATGGGATCGGCCTTTCCGATTTTGGCCGCACACAATATGCTTCTATTACTCGAGCTGTGTTGGCATTTCGGTATTTGTTTGAACTGTTAAAGATTGCTGTTTCTGAACGGTACTGGTTTATTCTTGAGGCTGTGGTTATCATTTCCAGTTACCTATTTAATTCTGTTCAGTATTTCTATTATGCTGTCATTATTGTATATAATGTGTATAAGTTATAGTGTAGGTGACTCGCCTTAGCCTCGTCATTACTTCGTCGAGGTTAGGCTCGCCACTTACCAGTACATAGAGTCGGTTGTACTAATACTACACTCTGCACACTGTGCAGATTTTGGAGTCGGTCCCAGCGGTGGATATTAGCGTGCCCGGATCGGATATTGGCGGAGACTTGAGGTACGGCTGTTCAGCGCCCGCAGCTCCTGGAGTCCCCATCCTCTTTCTTTTTAGCTGTATATTTTCATTCAAACGGCTTTTTACTTGTTTCAGAACCCTTATATGTATTATTCTAGAAGCTCGTGCACTTGTGACACCAGGTTCAGGGAATTGTAGTAAACGTTGGCTGGTTTAGCTTCCGCATCTATACTTAGAGCATAACGTTATCATCTAAACTGTTAAAAGAAGTAAATTGTTCTAACATTGGCTTGCCTAGCAAGTGAAATGTTAGGCGCCATCACGGTCCCCACGGTGAGAATTTCAATTCGTGATAATTTGACCCGTTTTTAAAAAGTTCATTATCCAACCCATTTTTTGGTGGATAATATTGGTGATTTACAGTTTTCTTTTAACCATTTTGCCACCACTACTACAACACATAAGAAGGTCATAAGCAAACAAATATGAACTAAATCCATTTTTGAGTATCTGGGATAATATTAAAATCTGGATTGTGCTTCAATTACTTCAGTGATCTATATATTGAGATAATTAATTGCTAAGACAAAGAGGTAATTAGGAGACATTTGAGCTCCTTGCCTTAGCCATTTCTTTGCATGGATAGTTAGAGTAGGCACTAATATTTATCAGCAGAGAGAATAACACATTATCAAATTGACCAGTTTCAGAGGAAGACCAAATTCAAGTAATAGCATCCTTTAGAAAAAACTCATTCTACTAAATCATAAGTTTTCCTTATATCCACTTTAATCATACACGTAATTAGCGACAGTCCAGTTCTTGAAAATCCCTTCATCAGTTCATGTGCAAGAATTGCATTATCAAGAATATTCCTTCCCTAAATTAAAGCATATTAAGATGGGACTACTAGGGAATAGCTTAGCAGTAAGAATCTTTACTATCACCATGCTATATGCCTAAAAATTTTAACCAGAAGAATTTTCCAATAGAAAATGCTCTGAGAAGAATTTTCAAGAAGCATTCATACATGATTCATGACATACTTTTTGGGAAAATTTCGCTGATTATCATCCAATAAAGATTTATAACATACAAGTCACTATTTTTTAGTCACATAAAGTCATATTACCAAAGCGTAACTAAAATAAAAACTTGGCGGGAGAATACGTATATATTTTGACCGAGAATATCTTATAGGGGTCTCCTATTAATCAGCTTAGTAAAATGGATTTAATGTAAAATGTGCAGAAATTAAACTATACAGTAATTAAACTGTGCACAATTTAATCGCTGCATAAATAGAAGATGTGTGAAGAAAAGGAATTAGTGGTTAAGAGGTGTGAAATAGAGGAAGTTCATGGCGAGATCGAGGAGATAAATACAATATGGTAGACACCTGATTCTAGTACATGAAGTGGTTATTACGAAGCTAGGAACTGAGATTAGTTACTTAGTAGATGTTTAGTTTGGCTTTAATAACATTTAGTTGAGTTTACTTATATTGTATGTTTACATAATTAAGATCTAAAAATTAAAGAGCAGCTAGATATCTCATCATAGTTAAAAATTGAGCAATATTATATATCTACCTATGGGATATACCATCAACAGCTTCATTGCCTGCAATTGAAGCTCGAATTAGTAAATCCATCAAAATATTGAGAGTGTGTCCGGTAGGAAGGAAAATTTTTCCATAAGAAAGTCATTTTTCAATATTTGGTATGACATGAGTCATTTTTCATTAAAAAAAAAGTATATATATTTTTTTTCACTTGTGGACGAAAGTCATTTTCCTTACAACTCTTGGTGATCGCCTTAAATTGGAGCAAGCATAATCTTCTGCCAATCCGTCAGGAAGTTGAAGTAACTTCTGGTCCAATATTATTCATCACGCCCAACTATGCCTTATAAAAGGACAAAGCGGTCATTGCAAATATATTCCGGTTAACAAGTCCGGAGTCGAATCCCTCAGGGAATTAACCTATTAAGCACAGCTACGTGACTCGCACAAGTTCACGCAATCAATCTTCAGAAAATTTTAAATAACAAATTGGATGCTTACTAACTAAATATCACGTAATGAAAATGAAGTAATTAATAACTAACTACGAACATGTTGTAGACAAGAATTAGAATGATCTAAGGTTATGATTTCCCCTATTGTTGGAATCCTTTCCACTACGTTTTCTATAAATTTGCCTAAGTTTTCTCTACCGTTCATGAGCTCTCTGAGTGTCGTAATTCTCTCCCGAGTAACTACTATAATTTACTAGACATATTCTTCCAAATTACGCTAGCTGGCACTGAGTACGACTCACTCGGATCGCACCAAGGTTTCGTTATTCCTAATCCCACCTTTAAACCCTTCGTATTGATCCCTCATATACGTTAGGAGTGTTGTTGTTCAGCAACTACCTAAATATGCACTCTATTCCGAGTAATACACACTAAATATGCACAGTCGATTGAGAGCTCTTCAACCAACCACAATATAAACGTAGTTGAACAAATAGAGAAAAAAACTACGGCAAATCTGTCACGACCCGGATTTCCCACCCTCGGGAGTCGTGATGGCGCCTACTAATAGGAGCTAGGCAAGCCAATTAATCATTAACCTTTTAGGCAAACCCCGACAATATTAAGGCAATGAGACATTTAATATAAAAGCGGAAGTTCTAAATATAAATAAAGGGAAAACAAGTGCGGAAAATTCAATTACAACCTCTACCCAAGATTGGAGTCACTAACTCACGAACTTCTACAGAATGCTAAATACAAAGTCTGAATAAAAACACAGTACTGTCTGATCCGATACAAAGGAAATCAAACGAAAAACAAGGATAAGAGAGACTCCGGGCCATGCGGACGTCAGCAAGGCTACCTCGGGAATCTCTGGACTGAAGTCAGCTCCCAATGCTCCTACTGCTGTCCAAAAGCTCCTGCTCCGGTATTGTGATCTGTGCAAAAAGATGCACAGAGTGTAGCATCAGCACAACCGACCCCATGTGCTGGTAAGTGCCTGGCCTAACCCTGACGAAGTAGTGACGAGGCTAGACAGGACTACCAATTAACCTGTGCCTGGCCTGCATATATATATATATATATAAAACAGCGGAAAGTAATAATTAAGACTGGGAGGGGTACATGCTTTTGGGGATAACAGATAAAATAGAACGGTAGGAATAAATAAGGAAAACTACAACTAATCTCTTCTAACACATAATACGTGGTCGGCGTGCTACACGATCCCATTTCATGTTATATAAGTGGTCGGCGTGCCACACGATCCCATTTCATAATATATAAGTGGTCGGCGTGCCACACGATCCCATTTCATAATATATGAGTGGTCGGCATGCCACACGATCCCATTTCATAATATATAAGTGGTTGGCGTGCCACACGATCCCATTTCATAATATATAAGTGGTTGGCGTGCCACACGATCCCATTTCATAATATATAAGTGGTCGGCGTGCCACACGATCCCATTTCATAATATATAAGTGGTTTCCCGCAAGGGAACAAGAATCAATTCAACTATCCCGGCAGGTCTGAGAATAC